CTATCCTATCCTATCCTATCCTATCCTATCCTATCCTATCCTATCCTATCCTATCCTATCCTATCCTATCCTGCATGTGAGATGGGAAGATTCATTTTTTGCTTTAACAGCTTGTTTCCCGATAGTATCTGGATGCCCTTCCAAAATCTGCCTGCTATTCCACGACTGTACATCAGCTTCCTAAATAAAAGGCAGTCCTCTACTAGCCTACTTTCTGGCTAGCGATGCTGCTTTTGATTCAAAACCCCCAAGTATTTTTCTCTCTTCTTCCCTTCCCTTCCCTTCCCTTCCCTTCCCTTCCCTTCCCTTCCCTTTGCTTCCCTTTGCTTCCCTTCCCTTCCCTTCCCTTCCCTTCCCTTTGCTTCCCTTCCTTTCCCTTCCTTTCCTTTCCTTTCCTTTCCCTTCCCTTCCCTTCTCTTCCCTTCCCTTCCCTTCCCTTCCCTTCCCTTCCCTTCCCTTCGCTTCCCTTCCTTTCCCTGCGCTCTTCTTTTTCTCCCTTTCCCACCACCCCTTTCCTCCCCTCTCGTGAGTTGTTTCATTCCTGTAAGCACATCGAGTCTTTCAAGAAAGAAAAAAAAACCAAGCAATTCCAAAGTGTGGGGTATCTATTATGCCTTTCTGGGAACCCTTCTCAAAACCCCCCTTTCCTCCCCCTGCAGAACAAGGAGGGGAAGGGGAAGAGGAAAAAAACAACAACCCAGAGAGGCTTAGCGTGTGTGAGTTCAAAAGCAGTGGGAGGAATGGCTTTGGATGGCAAGCGCTGCATCAAACCCGGCTGCCTTATGCGCTGAAATGTTCAAAGTGCAGCCGAGATAGATAAAGCCCTTTGATGGGGGAGCGGATATTTCCCAGGGACATTACAAGCAATAATCCAGATGTTCTTCTGTAATGCAACGAGTGTCCGTGGAAAGACCGAGGAGCTCCTAGCCAAATGTAGCCGGCTGTAGACTTTGGCCCTTTCCCTCTCCTGCTGTCTGGCCATATGGAAGCAATCTCCCGGTCCTTTTTAATGGGCCAAGCCTTCGATGCCATGTTCACGGAGCCTCCCAGAGCTTTTGAGCGGGCCTGGCTTTTTTATGGACAAGCGAGGAAGACGAGCGCTTTCCAAGACAAACAGCCCATTTGGAAAAACAAAAAAACCAAAAAAATGGGGAGCTGCACAACTACTTTACTGTAGAATGGATTTCGAGGAAGCACCGGCTTTTCCTAGTTAGGCAATTGGCTGATTGCAGCTTTGATCTTTGGCTGACATTTCTCTCCCCCCCTCTCTTTCTCCACCTCCTTCTCCCTCCCTCCCTCCCTCCCTCTTTCTTTCCTTCCTTCCTTCCTTCCTTCCTTCCTTCCTTCCTTCCTTCCTTCCCTTCTTTCTTCCCTCCCTCCCTTCTTCTTCCTTCCCTCCCTTCCTTCCTCCCTTCTTTCCTTCCTCACTCTCTCCTTTCTTTCTTTCTTTCTTTCTTTCTTCCTTTCTTTCTTTTTTTTGAACCACCCGCTGTCATCGCTACCAGTTCGGGCGATCCGGTCCAAATCGGGAGCATTTCACCCCTGCCTTTAAGCCTTTCATCTTTTGGGTATCTCAAGGGACCACTTTCCCCCAGGAACATCTGTCTGCCCAGGAAGTTTCCCTTGATTGGAGAATTGTCACATGTGTACCTTCTCAGTTCCTCTGAAATTGTGCTCTCCCCCCCCTCCCCCAATGTGTGATCACACTTTTCCCTCCTGCCTTTTAGGAAATTGGCGACAACCAGGGGTGAAATACTACCGGTTCGTCCCGGTTTGTAGTTTAAAAAAGCTACCGGTTTGTCTGAACCGGTATTTCCGATGATCAGCTGTGCCGCGGGGTTTATATTCGCTAGAAAGCAGGAAATCCTGCTTTCTAGCAAAGCTAAATCACACCGAACAGCTGTTCCCCCCCCTCGCTGTTCTACTTATCTAGTGAAGTCTTTTTTCCCCACGCAAAGCACGCTTTTGGCGCGCACAGTGTTTGCGCGTATGCAAGTGTCTTCTTGGTGCGCACTGTGCATGTGTGCTCACTGTGCATGTGTGCGCACAGGGTGCATGGATGGGCAGCGAACCGGTGGTGATCCTGGTTGTTCCATCAAATCCAGGTGATTGCTTAATTGTCACTTCCTCTTGGGTCTGGAGATTGAGTCTTTTATTGTTATGGTGAATGCCTCCATTCAGGATCCCCAGTTCCATCAGAACATTATGTAGTAGTTGGGTTGGTTTTTTTTTTTTACACTGACTATATGGTTTGAAACCAATTATACATCAGAGGCTTGTACGCTCTTCAGTGTTGGTAGATTGGAGTGGCCTACCAGCTCTGTAAATAAATAAATGGACCAGCCTCTATTTGCAGCTATTCCTCCGAGTATCCTTCTGTTAATAAGAAGGGTTTTAATCTCAAAGCAGTGATAAGCGGAATTGCAGGGCAGGAAAAGCTACCGCATAAAGGAGCTGGAAGTGAGGGAGTTGGCAAACAATTCTAAGGTGGGGAAAAATAGGGGTGGTAGAAGTAGCTAATGTGACTTTATAAAAAGCTTAGTGAAGATCTGAAAACGAGGAAGGATGCTTTAGAAGGGAGGGGTAGCTGAAAATATGACCATCCCACCGGACGAGGTTGTAATTAGAAAAAAATTGGGACTGTGCTGAAATGGACAGACTAACTTTAAAAATTAAAGATAAAGAAGATTCAGAATACTATTGGACATGGAATAAATTTTATGAATGGATAGAGAAAAAGAGGTAGAAATTAGAGAAAGTAAGATGATGAATGTTAATATTATAAGTATTGAAAGTAAGGAGGCATATAACTATAAACAGAGTCATTGATAAAAATTTAAATAAGCTAATGCAAGAAGAAACCTAGTTTAAACTTTTTGGCTGTATTATTATTACTGCTATTATATTATTACTATTGCTATTAGTTTCTGTGCTAAGATTTACTACCAACTCTTGTTGGTTGTGTTCTGTTTGTACATGATACTCTGACAATGCACTGTTTTTCGAAAATGTTTATGAATGAAAATTTGCAAAAATAAAAATAATAAGAAAAGTTCAAAAAGAAGAAGAAGGAAGAGGAGGAGGAGGAGGGAGGGAGGGAGGGGTTGCTAAGGAATGGACCAAACGAAGTCGAAAAACGCTAAGAGAATTGCTGGAAGCTCAGCACTCAAACATATCGGCCATCAACAGGCACATAGAGATAAATGACATCTACATAAAGTACCATTCAAAAGAGACAACCAAAAAGCCTAACAAAGTCAGCTTTGAGGCGTTGGAAAGATGCTGTGGAACACCTAAGCAATTCAGAACATTTTTTAAAAGAAAATCTATATATTTACATAATCAATGATGTAATCACCCATCTCACAATCGTGACCCGTAGCGTACATAGCATTAAAAACCAAACCAACCAAGGGCAATAATAAGAATAATGACAGCTGAGGACAAATCAGGAAGCACAAACTCACAACGATGGGCACAACTGACCCCTAAACCTCATGCCTGAGGGAAAGTCCAGGAGAACAGTCACATTTAGAGACAAAATAAATGTACCTTTTAATGTCCCCCCCCACACTTTAAATACGTCAATAAATGCAGAAACTGGGTAGGACAGTTTGTGGATGAGTGTATGGAGGAATATCACAGAGTACAAATAGAATAATTTGCTTCTTCCTCTTGGTGAGGCTGTACACTCCTGCTTTCAGTTTCAGTTGCCGAGATTCAACCTTTAAACACCTTTGGCCTGGTTGATCGAATTAGAATAACAGAGTTGGAAGGGACCTTGGATGGAGGTCTTCTAGTCCAACCCCCTGCTCAAGCAGGAAACCCTATACCCGTGATGGCGAACCTATGGCACACGTGCCACCTGTGGCACACATAGCCATATCAGTGGGCACGCGAGCTCAGCTCTGGCATGCTTTTTGAGCCTTCCGGTCCCACCGGAAATTGGCAAACGGGCCGTTTCTGGCCTCTGGTGGCCTTTGGGGAGGTGGGGAAGGCCGTTTTTGTCCTCCCCAGACACCTAGAGAGGCTCTGGAGCCAGGTGAGAGAGAAAAACGGGCCTACTGGGCCATCGCTTGCCAGGAGCGGGGCCGAGAGGGGTGGGTTGCACGTGCATGCACAGGGGTGGGGCACATAGAATTACAGGTGTGGGCAAGTGCGTGCATGACCCCCCTCCCCCCTCCTGGCACGCGATGGCAAAAAGGTTAGCCATCACTGCCCTATACCATTTCAGACAAATGGTTATCCAATCTCTTCTTGAGTCTTCATGGAACATACTCCTGCTTTTTAGCTTCCCAAATTGTAATATTTTTCTCCCTCCCCAATTTTAGGCGAGCTTCATGAGAGCCAGCAGGCTGGTAGACACGCTGCAAAAAAACCAGTTGTGGAATGGAACAGTTACTGTGGCTTTACTGGAAGGAAGGAATATCCCCATGGGGGGCATGACCCACATCTTCGTTTTGTTGAGAATGGGCCAGGAAAAATTCAAAAGTAAGGTAAGCATGATTGAGACAGGACTGCGGCCAACTGGTGTGATTTGAAGAAAGTCCGTCCATCGGAAAGTCAGTCACACCTGAAGTATAATTTAATATACGGATTTGTATATCATGCAACAAACTAGAGTCTTTCTATGTAGACCAGAGGTTCCCAGACTGTGGGCCGTGGCCCACTACTGGGCCACAACCTATTGGCCACCGGGCCACATGAGTAGCTGGCCGGTGCATGCAAGTCTGCACATGCACACAGCTCCACTCGTGACTGTCACGCGGGCACTCGCAGCTCATTCACACTTACGTCGCTGGAAGTGTCGCGGGCACTCATGGCCCCTCGCAGGAATGGTGGGTATTTACACACGTACACACGCATGCCTGCTCCTACCCTTCCCACAAAATCTTTCCCCCCCTCCACCCACTCCGGGCCTCCAACTCAGAAAGATTGGAGAACTCTGAGGTAACAATAGCAATAGGACTTAGATTTATATACTGCTTTACAGTGTTTTACAACCCTCTCTAAGTGGTTTACTGAGTCAGCCTATTGCCCCCCAACACTCTGGGCCCTCATTTTACCCACCTCGGAAGGATGGAAGGTTGAGTCAACCTTGAGCCTGGTGAGATTCGAACTGCCAAATTGCAGGCAGCCGGCAGTCAGCAGAAGTAGCCTGCAGTACTGCATTCTAACCGCTGCGCCACCATAGTTCATGAACCTGTTTTTATTGCTTAGCTGTCATTCCTACAACTCAACCAGGATCTACTTCCTTAGCCATATAGTAGCACTTAGACTTATATACCGCTTTACAGTACTTTATAGCCCTCTCTAAGCACTTTATAGAGCCAGCATATTGTCCCCAACAATCTGAGTCCTCATTTTACCCACCTCGGAAGGATGGAAGGCTGAGTCAACCTTCAGCCGGTCAGGATCGAACTCCTGGCAGTGGGCAGAATTATCCTGCAATACTGCATTCTAATCACTGGGAAGGAAAGAAGGAAAGAAAGAAAGAAGGAAAGAAGGAAGGAAGGAAGGAAGGAAGGAAGGAAGGAAGGAAAGTAGCTATAGCACTTAGACTTATATACCGCTTCACAGTGCTTTGCAGCCCTCTCTAAGCAGTTTACAGTTAGCATATTGTCCCCAACAATCTGGCCCCTCATTTTACCCACCTCGGAAGGATGGAAGGCTGAGTCAACCTTGAGCCTGGTGAGATTCGAACTGTCAAATTGCAGTCAGCCGGCAGTCAGCAGAAGTAGCCTGCAGTACCGCATTCTAACCACTGCGCCACTTGTCATAGACAAGTGTCTTTCTCTTACCTCGGCTGAATCACCTTCCAGATAAGTCCGTTTCAATTCCCAGAATTCCCCATCCAGCATGGTTCCAGCTAAGAATTCTGGGCTTTGAAGTCCAGGCACTTAAAGGATACCAACCTGCCCAAAATGCTGATATCAGAAAACAAGCAAAACCGAGAATTACCAACACTCTTGTCTACTGACAAATAAGCTTTGGAGAGCTGCTATCCCCTCTCCGGCCTTTCTGATCCAAATAGACAGTCCCCATTGGCTATAACACCCATCATGCTTCAAGCCCCCCACAAAAGCCTTTGTGTTTAATAGGGTAATTATACTAACCGTATTAAATACGTTTGGATTTAATGGAATGAAAACAAGGATAGCTTCTGTCCCAGTTCTCTCCGCCTTCTGAAGCAACTTGCTGGTTCCCCGAATATGCAAGTACGCACGGCCCTTTGGTTTCGGTGTCAGAAGTTTAAATTCTCCCACATGTAGTATAAAAAGTGGTGTCCCCCCCATTTCATTAACCATTAACATGCTTGTGAAGAAGGCACAGAAGAGGCTGTACTTCCTGACCATGCTCAGGAAGATAAATCTATCTCAGCATCTACTTCTGTCCTACTATCGCAGCACCATTGAGAGTGTCCTGACATACGGCATTCTTGCATGGTATGGGAGCAGCTCTGTAGCAGTCAAAAAAGCTCTACAGAGAATCATTAAAACTGCTCAGAATATCATCGGACTCCGGCTACCAGCCCTGGACGACATCTTCGAATCTGGCTGTTAGAGGAAGTTGCATAACATTCTCAGAGACTCTTCCCATCCTGTTTACAATCTTTTTGGACTGTTGCCTTCTGGCAGAAGATACAGAACAATGAAAACTCGGACCACACGTTTTCTGAATAGTTTTTATCCCAGAGCTATAATTGCACTCAACAATGAACTAAAGGGCCACCATCAGTGAGCTGTTAGACAGCATGACTTGGTCTGTTGTGTGGATGTTTGGATGGTTTAGGGGTGGGAAATTGTGGTCTAGGGGTGGGAGTGTGTTTGGGGATTGTTATGTGTGTTGGACTTGGTCTTTGGGTGTTAAGTGAATTTCGTTGTATGGGTATAATGTGTATACACATACAATGACAGTAAAGTTGTTATTGTTGTTGTTGTTGTTGTTGTTGTTGTTATTGTTGTTATTATTGTTATTATTATTATTATTATTATTATTATTTAATCTTTAGTGAGATTCACAGCCTTTGAGGCTGGTTAACAGCTCAGCAGCTCGAGTCCTAACCAAGGACTTAGGAACTGTTAAGGTATCGTCAGAGGATGTAAGCTGTTCCGAGTAAGGTGGTTTTTTGTAGAGTCAAAATGTTCAAGTCCGGCAAATTTAGAATTTCTAAATAGCGGGGTAGCCCTTTGGGTATTGCTCCGAGGGCTCCAATTACAATTGGGACAACACACGATTTCTTTTTCCACAATCAGTCAACTTCAATTTGTAAGTCCCGGTACTTTGTGATTATTATTATTATTATTATTTTATTATTATTATTATTAGTTAATCTTTAGTGAGATTCACAGCCTTTGAGGCTGGTTAATAGCTCAGCAGCTGAAGTCCTAACCAAGGACCTAGGAACTGTTAAGGTATCATTAAGGTATTATTATTATTATTATTATTATTATTATTATTATTGTTGTTGTTGTTGTTGTTGTTGTTATTATTATTATTATTATTATTATTATTATTATTATTATTATTATTATTCCCTACTGTGTTGCTGAAGGCAACTGTTCCCTCTTCATACTTGTTGGTCTTTAAAGCTTGCCTCTCTTTTTTCAGAGTGGTACATTTAAAAAAAAAATCTGAAAGCTGCAATCCTTTGAAAGAACGATAAATCTTATCACTCTGTGTTTTCTAGACACTGTGCAAGAGCGCAAATCCGCAGTGGAGGGAACAGTTTGATTTTCACTACTTCTCTGACAGGAAAGATGTATTGGAAATTGAGATCTGGGGAAAAGATAACAAAAAGCATGAAGAAATTTTGGGAATGTAAGTTGTCTTCTTTTATTACCGTTAAATGTGTTTTGCAAAGCTTTGGAAGACCATGTAGAATGGTGACTCTCTAGATAACACTGCGGATATCTCTCTCTTGTGTAATATTTTAATCGTCGTGGTTTTTTCCCATCAAGAACCTGAGAACGGAAGCTTCTCAAAAATCTCACTCAAGCATTGTGTAGGTCAACAACAGGAACGAGCTCACAGGGTTTCTAATTGGGCAGAATCCTGCCCAATTTTGGAAGAACTACTCCAAGATAATTCTGTGAGATGTAGTGGTACAATCCAGACACAATTAAAGAGCTTCCCAGTTTGGGCAGAAACATGGTTGTCCTCTTCCACAAGTCTTCTCCAGCAACTGTCCTTCAATGATTAAGAAAATAGCAGCTAACTGTCAAAATAGTCATTGATCCTCCATGATCTTCTTCAGTTGCTTAACACTGGTGTCTCCATGTCTTCTAGCAGAAGATCATCATCATCTTTTAATGACCCCATAATCCCTTGTGGGGTGGAGTCTGGGCAACTGAATGGAGAAATCCAAAATGAAATGCAGACATACTTTAGAGAAAGGAGATTCATTTTATTCCCAAGAACAAAGAGATTTGTTTTTGGGGGGTAGCTACAGAGAAAATGAGGTCCAGGGACTTGGTTTTATACGGGGACTGGCCCTTGGTGTGAACTCGGAGGTGTGGTTTGTGTACGTGTTGGTTTTAGCGTGAGTCCTTCCAGTGCAGATATGCAGATTGGGATGCTCCTACCCTGGGCTTTGATCCTGAGGTTCATGTGAAATCTGGAAAGGAAAATCACTCTCAGATATGTAGATTCTACCTCTGGTGTCTCCCTTTATCTGGGGTGGAGGGGCAGATTCCTGCCTCCCCATGGAACCAGTGAGGTGCTAAAAGGAGGGGAAAGAAGATTTCAATTCAGAATAGAGTTGGAAGGGACCTTGGAGGTCTTCTACTCAAGCAGGAGACCCTATACCACTTCAGACAAGTGACTGTCCAGTCTGTTCCCAAAATCCTCCAGTGATGACACACCTACAACTTCTGGAGACAAGTTGTTCCACTGGTTAATTGTTCTCACTGTTAGGAAGTTTTTCCTTAATTCCTGGTTGCTTCTCTCCTTGATTACTTTCCATCCGTTGTTTCTTGCCCTGTCTTCCGATGCTTTGGAAAATAAGGTGAGCCCCTCTTCTTTGTGGCAACCTCTCAAATATTGGAATACTGCTACCATGACAGCAGTATTCCTACTGCTGAGGTCAGCCATCTGCCCTTCTTTCTCTCCTTCTCCACCTCCCTTTTGGAAGCAGGAAAAATTAGCTAGAGGACAGTGGACTAAAATGACTTCCCAAGAACATCTTGTTCTAGTCAACTTCACCTATGACACCGCCATCAGCATCTTTGATAACCAAACTGTGATTTGGCCACACATCTGGAGCTCAGGTTCCAAATCACATCGACTCCAAAATGGTTTGGAAATCAATTATAATAGAATAGAATTAGAATAGAATTCTTGGATTGGCCAAGTGTGATTGGACACACAAGAATTTGTCTTTGGTGCATACGCTCTCAGTATACATAAAAAGAGAAGATACATTCATCATGAATCATAAGGTACAACACTTAATGATAGTCATAGGGTACAAATAAGCAATCGAATCATACTAGGAAACAATATAAATCATAAGGATACAGCAACAAGTTACAGTCATAAGTGGGAGGAGATGGGTGATAGGAAGGACGAGAAGACTAATAATAATAGTAATGCAGACTTAGTGAATAGTTTGACAGTGTTGAGGGAATTATTTGTTTAGCAGAGTCATAGCGTTCGGGAAAAAACTGTTCTTGTGTCTAGTTGTTCTGGTGTGCAGTGCTCTATAGCGGCATTTTGAGGGTAGGAGTTGAAACAGTTTATGTTCAGGATGCGAGGGGTCTGTAAATATTTTCACAGCCGCACATCTGGAGCTCGGGTTCAAAACCACATCGACTTCAAAACGGTTTGGAAATCAATTATAATCGGAGAATCCAAAGTAAGAAATTCTTCTATCACTGCCCATGAAAATTTTACTGAAATTCTATTGGCGGGAAACGTTAAGAGCAATATTTGTTTCATTGAATGCAACAGGAAGCGATTAACAAATGCAAAATTTCTGAGCCTGGGACTTCTCTCAGCCACACAGGCCCCGTGAAGATGGCGGTACCACAAACTTCTCAGCCCCCCCACCCCACCCCGCTGCTTCTTTGCAAGTGGCTACTCCCACCGTGAACGATTCTTCCTTTGACTTCTCTGTGATATCTCCTCTGGGTTTCCTGAACGGATTGCCTCCTTAAACTTTACGAGATTCTCTCTCTTTCCACTCTTCCCCCCCTCCCCACCCCCGTTCTATAAGGCTGGCTTATTACCAGCAGAGGTCTGGCAAAAGACAATATGGTTGCAGCAATTCTGGTGCTAAATAGTTGCAAACAGTTAGTAGAACCGGTGGTGGGAATTTCTCGCCACGGGGAAACCGTTTTGAAAGCACGACCATGGCGGGGTTTATGATGTGCTCTGGTCCTCGTTTGGAACAGCTGCTGCTGGGTTCCCTTGCCTTCTATTGGATCCTCACCCGATAGTAAGAAAGGGAAAGGATGGGTTTCTATTGCTTAGACAGGGAGAAATAATCACTGGGCAAACAATTAGACTCCCAAGTAATTAAACAGCTTGATTGTACATTAAACTCAAGATGTGTTTGGCTCTTAGCGACGTCCTCCTCCCCCTTCCTCCTCCTCTTCTTTCTGAATCAGTTCAATTCAATTAGTCGTGGGGGGGTGGGAGGGTTTAAATATGACCATGTCTTGATATTAAGAGCCTTGGTGGCGCAGCAGACTAAAGTGCTGTTAAATAGCACCAGCTGCCTGCAATTACTGCAAGTTCGAATCTCACCAGGCTCAAGGTTGATTCAGCCTTCCATCCTTTCGAGGTAGGTAAAATGAGGATCCGGATTGTGGGGGCAATAAGCTGACTTTGTATAAAAAAGAACACCGCTTAGGAGGGACCAAAAGCCCTACTAAGCAGATATATACAAAAGTATGAAGGCTATTGCTTAACGCATTGTAAGCCGCCCTGAGTCTCCGGAGAAGGGGGGCATATAAATCAAACCAATAAATAAATAAATAAATAAATAAATAAATAAATAATAAATAATAAAAATAAATAAATAAATAAATAAATAAATAATAATAAATAAATAAATATGCTTTCCATGGATCCGTGCCCTGGAATTGTTTGGCCACCAATATTAGACTGTAGTTACAGTTCCTTAGCTAAGCGGTGCAATCAAGCAAATAAAAATATAAATTCAGGCACACCAGCAATTAAATATTGAAACTGACAGCCTCTATTGTAGGTAACAGTAACAGAGTTGGAAGGGATCTTGGAGGCCATCTAGTCCAACCCCCTGCTCACGCAGGAGACCTGTACTAGGGATTCGAACCGCCGAACCGCCGACCTTTCGGATCGATAAGCTCAGTGTCTTAGCCACCGAGCCACCTAGTCAGTCTTTCACCACTCCTAACTGTTTCTAACCTAGTCTCCATCTCACATTGGAAGACCTTTGTACTAGTGTACTACTGCACTGGTATGACTACACTTGAAATACTGTGTCCAGTTTGGTCAACCATGATCCCCAAAAGATGTTGAGACCCTGAAAAGAATTCAGAGAAGAGCAACAAAGATGATTAGGCGAAGGGAGGCTAAAGCATATGATGAAAGGTTGTAGGATCTGGGTAGTCTAAGGAAGAGAAGGACTAGGGGTGACATGATCGCAATGTCCCAATATTTGAGTATTCTCTATCACAGAGGAGAGGGAGGTCAAGCTATTCTCCAAAGCACCTGAGGGCAGGGCAAGAAGTAACAGATGGAAACTAATCAAGGAGAGATTCCAATCTAGAAATAAGGAGAAATTTCCTGTCAATGAAAACAATTAATCAGTGAAACAATTTGCCTCCAGAAGTTTATTTATTTATTTTATTTTATTTCTATACCGCCCTTCTCCTGCAGGACTCAGGGCGATGTACAGCCAAGATAAAACATTGCATATAAAATTTAAAAACAATTTAAAAAACAATTAAATAATTTCAGCCCAAGATTTAAAAACAACCCAATTAAAACCGAATTCAATTAAAACTGAGAGGATGGGATCAAGCCAGCCCGACTAGATGGAATAGGTGTGTTTTCAGGGCCCGACGAAAAGTCCAGAGGTCTGATATCGTGCGTATCTCAGGGGGTAGGTCATTCCAGAGGGCAGGTGCTGCCACAGAGAAGGCTCTCCCCCTGGGGGTCGCCAGCCGGCACTGTCTGGCCGACGGCACCCTGAGGAGGCCCTCTCTGTGCGAGCGAACCGGTCGGTGGGAGGCTATTGGCGGCAGAAGGCGGTCTCGCAGATACCCCGGCCCTAAGCCATGGAGCGCTTTAAAGGTGGTCACCAACACCTTGAAGCGCACCCAGAAGACCACAGGAAGCCAGTGCAGCTCGCGCAGGAGAGGTGTCATATGTGAGTGCCCCGTCGCTCCCATAATCCCCCACGCGGCTGCATTCTGGACTAACTGTAGCCTCCGGGTGCACCCCAAGGGGAGCCCCATGTAGAGAGCATTGCAGTAGTCCAGGCGGGAAGTGACAAGTGCTTGAGTGACTGTGCGTAGGGAGTCCCGATCCAGAAAGGGGCACAACTGGCGTATCAGGCGAACCTGATAAAAAGCCCCCCTGGCCACGGCCGTCATGTGCTCTTCTAAAGACAGCCGTGCATCCATGAGGACGCCTAAGTTGTGGGTGCTCCATCACTGGAGGTTTTTTTAAAGAAGAGACTGGACAGCCATTTGTCCAGAATGATCCGGGGTTAGACTAGAAGACCTCCAAGGTCCCTTCCAACTGTGTTATCATATAATTAAAATTGGGTGGAAAGTTCCGTAACATAGGAATTTCGGAACTTGATCTTTGCCTGTTCAGATGAAATTGCCAAGACAATTTTCTGAGGAGCTTTAAGATTCCCTGGAAGGTAACAAGTCTTATGACAAACAGTAATAACCATCTTATTACATTTTTATCTTATTATAAACAATAAGAACAAGCTCTAACCGAACAAGCATTTATCCAAGACAGTGTACATTTATACCCCTCCCCATCCTTCTTGCTCTTTCCACTATCCTTGGGCACGGCAGTGTAACGTTCAAGGGTCACAACCAATGAGTTACCGGATTTTTCGGAATATAAGACGCACCTTTTCCCTCCCCAAAAGAGGGTGGAAATCTGGGTGAGTCTTATACTCCGAATGTAGCCTTGCCCGGCTTCCCAAACGGAGGTTTCGGAGGCTGAAAAAAGCATCAGAAACGAAGCTTCAGAAAAGAAGCCCCCAAACAGAGCTTCAGAGGCTTTTTTTCTGATGCTGTTTCGGAGGCTTTCAGAGGCAGGAAAAAAAGTTTTTTCTGAAATGGAGTTTCAGAAGTTTCAGAGGCAGAAAAAAAAGCAAGGCACAGAGCTCACAACCAAGGAACCTGTTGCTAAAATTCACCTCTGGGAACAGATGATTGGGGGGATTCCGGGAGGCCGATCCACCCACCAATCAGCTTTTTTCTTATTTTCCTCCCCAAAAACTAAGGTGTGTCTTATACTCCGGGGCGTCTTATACTCAGTTGTGTCTTATACTCCGAAAAATACGGTATTTTCATATCCATCCAGAAGAATCTTGTAATATCAGTTCCTCATGCACGCTTTGGTTCTTCCATTCCTTCTTCATCATGCTTCCTTTAAATTACCAGCTGTGTGAGCAGCAACGTTTCATCAATTTTGAGTCAGTACAGTTCGAATATATTTTGTGTGTCTCTAACGGACCGTGCAGTTGAGTGCAGGATTTCAAGAGATGAAGGTGAAATGGGTACGGTTGGCCATGAAGAAGTCATTCTCATGTTGAGGTGTTCTGTCTACAATGCAGCTTCCATGTCTGTAACTCTGTCCTTTCATCAATTCCAAGAAGATTCTTCCCCCCATTTGCACTCTGATACAGGTGACCCTGTAACGTAACGGGATGAGCTCCCGTTACTTGTCCCAGCTTCTGCCAACCTAGCAGTTCGAAAGCAAGTAAAAAATGCAAGTAGAAAAATAGGGACCATCTTTGGTGGGAAGGTAACAGCATTCTGTGCGCCTTTGGCATTTAGTCATGCCGGCCACATGACCATGGAGACGTCTTCGGACAGCGCTGGCACTTCAGCGACTAGCACGTATGTGCGAAAGGAACTTTTACCTTTTACCTTTACAGGTGACTCTGAGGGCACAAATAAATTCCCAAGTGGCTTCAAGAGCTCTCAGGGAGAGTGCTAACAACCAGAGGACTGCAAAGAAATACAATCTTTCCAACTTCAAACCCCGCATCCCTGTCAGAACTAATCCTTCCATCGTCCCCAGCATCCTGCCAGAACCGATGAAGCTTCTTGGATGAGAAGCGAAACGTCTTCTTCTTTCTTCCTCAAAGGGAAAAAAAACCACAGTTCCGTTGTCTTTTGAAGAAGAAGAAGAAAAAAAACACCTTTGAGACATGGATGTCTGAGAAGAATCTCCACAGACATTTTGAGGTGCTTCACCCTATTAAAAATGAAGCCTTCAGAAGATTTTGCAAGGAGATTTGCTGAAAACCTCTGGGGTTTCGTGCCTTCCTTTCTTCTGCAAAACCAGCTGTTTAAGAAATGGAATTTTTTTGGGGGGGGGTAGGTTGTGGCAGATGGACACCAAGTGTTCAGGCTCTAGAATGTTCCATTTCCCAAGCAGAAGCCCCCAGGACATGATCTTCCCTTTTCTCCTCCTCCTTCTTCTAATTAGGCAACACTTTAACAGGTCCTTGCTTTAAATAAAAGCCTTTCAACAGGCCTTCCGCTGTCAAAATCTGTTCCAATTTCTCTCTCACCATCCAGAAACTTGACTCCCGTGAATACCCGGCAGGGATCTGAAGCTGCGAGTATTTATCTTCTATAAAAGCTGAAATCTGCAGAGTTCCTTGGAAGTTGTGCTCCATTTGCTTCCGAATAAAAAAGAGCTTTGAGTGCTCACACCACTGGTCTTCTCGCTGCTACAAATCTGAGGAAGGATTCAAACCCCCCCCTTTCCTCCCTTTTCATCCACTTTTGGAGGTTTCAATGCTTTTTTTTTTGGTGGCTATCTTTAAAGGAAATGCACTTTTTTATTCTTCTTAAAATGGCAAATGCTGCTTTCTGGAAGCAATTCTCTGGAGTGCATCGTCATGAAAACTGAGATAGATGGTGACCCATTTAGACCCTTTTCTGGGGGGGGGGATCTAGCTGCCCCATTTCTAAAATAGAATAACAGAGTTGGAAGGGACCTTGGAGGTCTTCTAGTCCAACCCCTTGCTCAGGCAGGAAACCCTACACCACTTCAGACAAATGGTTATCCAACCTCTTCTTAAAAACTTCCAGTGTTGGAGCATTTGCAACTTCTGGAGGCAAGTTGTTCCACGGATTAATTGTTCTGACTGTCAGGAAATTTCTCCTTAGTTCTAAGTTGCTTCTCTCCTTCATTAGTTTCCATCCGTAGCTTCTTGTCCTACCCTTAGATGCTTTGGAGAACAAGTTGACTCCCTCTTCTTTGTGGCAATATTTTGGGTTTTATTTTCTCAGCCTTCTTTCCTAACGCTTATATAGCTCATTCATATAGAGAACAGAACAGAACAGAAACTGAGGAGAGATGAAAGACTCAGCATGTAATAGAATAGAATAACAGAGTTGGAAGGGACCTTGGAGGTCTTCTAGTCCAACCCCTTGCTCAGGAAACCCTACACCACTTCAGACAAATGGTTATCCAACATCTTCTTAAAAACTTCCAGTGTTGGAGCATTCCCAACTTCTGGAGGCCAGTTGTTCCACTGATTAATTGTTCTAACTGTCAGGAAATTTCTCCTTAGTTCTAAGTTGCTTCTCTCCTTGATTAGTTTCCCTCCATTGCTTCTTGTCCTACCTTCAAGTGCTTTGGAGAATAGCTTGACTCCCTCTTCTTTGGGGCAGCCCCTGAGATACTGGAACACTGCTACCATGTCACCCTGAGTCCTTCTTTTCATCAAATTAGACAAATTAGGTCCTCCTTGATCATCTGCCTCCAAATAAGGGCCCATCCATTTTTAAATGTTTTTAAAAGAGTCTGTTCAAACACAATGCATCCGTTTTTCAAACACAACGTTTCTTAGAAGTGTATCTGCAGATTTCCCCAATAGTCTAATATTGAATGTCAGTTCTCTTGATTTGGTTATTTGTTCTTAATATGAGAAAATATTGTTCTTTGCACGATAAACTTCCCCGGTTTGATTCTTACAATGTTCCTGATTAAGAACTCTGTCTTTAATGTCTCTAATTCTTTTTGACCACAGTTCTTTCTGGAACACAGTTTATCCAAGGGTGCATTTTTCTCCAATAAATATTTTGGGTACCTGAATTAAAGGCACCTTTTCAAAGGTGCTCTTCCAAAAGGCAACTGGACTTCCTTGGTTTTTTCTTTCTTTCTTGAAAAGGTTTCACTCCTCCTCCAAGAAGCTTCTTCAGTTCCGTTCAGTTCTTCAGAACTGAAGAAGCTTCTTGGATGAGAAGTGAAACCTTTTCAAGGAAAAAAAAATCCCAAGAAAGTCCAGCTTCCTTTGGGATAAACCATAACCTGGATGATTGAGAGTCTCCATAGACGTTAAAGGAACTAGTAATTTTGGGGCAGAAAGGCAAAATTAGTTGCGCCCTTTGAAGTGGGAAAGTTGTAACTTATCTCTTGGAGGGTTTCAGAGCACGTTATACAGGTGAAACTCAAAAAATTAGAATATCGTGCAAAAGTTCATTTATTTCAGTAATGCAACTTAAAAGGTGAAACTAATATATGACTCATTACATGCAAAGCGAGATCGTTCAAGCCTTGATTTGTCATAATTTTGATGATTATGGCTTACAGCTCATGAGCCTTGGTAGTACAGTGGTCTAAAGCACCCTGTTATTAAGACCAGCTGCCTGCAATTACTGCAGGTTCGAATCTCGCCAGGCTCAAGGTTGACTCAGCCTTCCATCCTTTCTAAGGTAGGTGAAATGAGGACCCAGTTTGTGGGGGCAATAAACTGACTTTGTATAAATATACAAAAGGATGAAGGCTATTGCTTAATGCCTTGTAAGCCGCCCTGAGTCTCCAGAGAAGGGCGGCATATAAATCAAATAAAAATAAAAAAAAAAAAAAACCCCAAATTCACAATCTCAGAAACTGGCAGGTGTCGCACATTGGTGGTTGTGACGCATATTTTGGGCGACGGAGCCGCAGCATAGGGGTGAAAGAGCCACATGCGGCTCCAGAGCCACAGGTTGCTGACCCCTGGTATAGAGGGATGTCTACGATGATGTAAGGTACGAAGCGACTGTGTTTTCTTTTGCCTTCCAATGGTTTAGATGCAAAGCCGAAGTTGGAGGACTCCCTGACAAGCAAGCCAACCGTTTCGAACTGCCCCTGGAGAAGCAGCCTGGTTTCTTGGTCCTGGTGATCTCCGTGGCACCTTGCTTAGGGGTGTCCATCTCTGATTTGTGCGTGTGTCCCCTGGGAGACCCCAACGAAAGAAAGCAGATTTTCCAACGTTACGTGAGTCTCTGGATGGTTATTTCTTCCCCCCTTTCTCCTGAAGCAGAGGTTATCCACAGAGGCAGAGGCAGTATGGCAGGCATGGCATTGTGACCAAGGCCTTATCTCTCTCTCTCTCTCTCTCTCTTTTTTTTTTTGGCGTGTACAAAAGGGGCATGGCGGTGCTCTATCCATCGCCTTGCAGCTTTTGACTCTCCCCCTTGAGCAAAAGGCGCAGGTGAAAACGGTACAGAAAACCCAACCAGCCGTTTTTGCCAAGCCAAAGGCCAACCTCCAAGCTCATCTTGAATGCTCTCAAGAACCAAGCAGGACCAAGGACAGTGGGGCAAGCGCTTCTGTGTCGCTGCTACAAGTTAAATGGCAACAAAAATGTGAACCTTGCTCAAAAGTGACTTTACTGTTTAATCGCTTTTTCAGAGCAAAGGAAGGGGAAAATGAAAACCAAAAGAGCATAGAGTTCTGTGAACACAGAGTATTGCTTTCAGCCAAAAGGCAGGTCTATAATTTCTGTTCCAGTACGTCTAGAGTTAGGATTTTCTATCATCTGTCTGTCTGTCTGTCTGTCTGTCTGTCTGTCTGTCTGTCTGTCTGTTTGTCTGTTTCTCTATCTACTCCTCCTCCTCCCTTCCATCCATCCATCCATCCATATCTATCTATCTATCTATCTATCTATCTATCTATCTATCTATCTATCTATCTATCTATCTCCCCATCCTCCTTCCTTCCTTCCTTCCTTCCTTCCTTCCTTCCATCCATCCATCCATCCATATCTATCTATCTATCTATCTATCTATCTATCTATCTATCTATCTATCTATCTCTTCTACTCTCCACACACCTCACTCCTTCCTCCTCTCCTCCTCCTCCATCCATCCATCCATCCATCCATCCATCCATCCATTTTATCTATCTAATTATCTCTCTCTCTCTCTCTCTCTCTCTCTCTCTCTCTCTCTCATCTATCCATCCATATGCTTACGCAGAATCACACACAAATAAAATGTATATGCAAACACATACACATGGATATATACGTATGTGTACATCTCCCATTATGACTTACAATGTTTGCAAACGGTTCATTATATTTAAACACAGTTAAAAATATTTAACGGTACTATGCGCTAGCAGGAAATCAGGCATGAGTTTCTTATCTAAGGAACAAGTATGTTCCAAAAAAAGTATCAGAAGAACTTAATATGAGGCTTCCTTGATTACGGTAACTGGTTATTTGGCCTTGAGAAAAATGTGCTCTTAAAAGCTGACACATCAAACATAAAAAAACAAACAAGCTTGCGAAGCATTATTTTTCTAACAATGATTTTCTTTTCAGAGTTTAAGGAACTCTTTCCAAAACATGAAGGATATCGGGTTTTTGCAAGTCAAACTTTTAAAAGCGGTTGATCTGTTAGCTGCAGATTTTTCAGGTATGTATTGTTTTATTTCTCTTTCACTCTGTTCAGTATGACTTGAATCTCACATACCGTATTTATCGGAGTATAAGATGCACTCCCCCCCCTCTAAAAGAAGGTGAAAATCTGGGTGCGTCTTATATTCTGAATGTAGCCCCGCCCACCCACCGCCCACCGCCCACCCACCCTTTGGCCTCTGCCTCCCAGCAATTTACCACCTTGTAGCAAGCAACAAACAGCAAAACAGTCCATTTCAGCTTCAGCACAGCCTGATTAGCACAAGCAGCTGATTGTCGGTTGGATTGGCCTCCCGACCCTCAGCTGTTTCAGGCTGCAGGGATTGCCATTTCCTATTGCCACACGGGCCTCCGCTGCTTGCTGCAAGCAGGCAAATTGCTGGGAGGCAGGTTTTTTTTTTCCTTGTGCTAAAAATGAAAGTGAAACTAAAGAAGGCTGTTTGCTGCAATGAGGCAAATTGGAGGCAGAGGCAGAGTTATTTTGAGTGTTTTATGGTCTTATTTTCTTCTTTGTGTCCTTTTGTTGTAAAATTTCTGTCTAGAATCAACAATTAGCTGGAATTTAAAAAGCATTTCACTAACTTAATTAAAATGTTATCTGAAGGAAAATAAAGAGAGAGGGAAAAAAGCTTTACATCTAACACAGGAGTCAGCAACCTGCGGCTCTGGAGCCACATGTGGCTCCTTCACCCCTCTGCTGCGGCTCCCTGTCACTCAAAATATGCATCACAACAGCCAATGTGCAACACCTGCCGGCACACGATTTATTGAGCTTTTCAACCCCTGGTAGGCCAACCATGGATAAATCCCAAGAAAAGAAAAGTTTCAGAAGAAAACAGAATGTTTAAGAAATAGCCACTCAAAAAATAGTCAGGCACGGGAAGGGTTTTGTGGCTCCCGGTGTTTTCTTTTCTGTGGGAAATGGGTCCAAATGGCTCTTTGAGTGTTTAAGGTTGCAGACCCCTGATCTAAGAGATTGTGTGCTGAATAACTTACTGATTCTGATTGCAACAACAATCTATGCAAAGAAAAAAAAACTTAAAACAGTTCCAATCTGGTAAAATTTCATATTATTTCCCATATCCATGCCCTACCGTATATCTTGTTTTCCTCCCCAAAAAAGGTACGTGTGTCTTATAGTCCGGAGCGTCTTATACTCCGAAAAATACGGTAAATGCAATTCCACAAAGGAGGATCTGAAACAAAGAGGAGAATCTCTCAAGAAGTTAACCTGAATATCAGCAAGCTTCTTTTCATTGAAAAAAAAATAATTCTTGAACATAATAGATTTTGGTTTCTTCCTGTAGGCAAAAGTGATCCCTTCTGCGTCTTGGAATTAGGGAACAGCAGACTTCAGAGTTACACTGTTTACAAAAACCTCAACCCAGAATGGAATCAGGTCTTCACTTTGTAAGTGGATTTGCAACGGAAACTCCTGATGCGAAGGATGGCTGGCATATTTGTTAGACTTGCCAAGAGAGAGGTAGCCCACTGAGTAGGAACCAATCTTGGGAAAGGAGGTAGGGGACATGTAGGCACTTTCAAAATATAACAGGCTGTATTACTTAGCTTAGCTCATATGTTCTCTAGAGCATCTGGACTTTAAATCCAAAAGCAGTGCTTTATATTTTCTTTAGGGACGCGGTGACTCAGTGGGTAAGACGCTGAGTTTGTCAATCAAAAGGTCGGCACTTCAGCGATTTGAATCCCTAGTGTCGCGAAACGGGATGAGCTCCCGTTACTTGTCCCAGCTTCTGCCAACCTAGCAGTTTGAAAGCACCTAAAAAATGCAAGTAGAAAAATAGGGACCACCTTTGGTGGGAAGGGAACAGCGTTCCGTGCGTCTTTGGCATTGAGTCCTGCTGGCCACATGACCACGGAGACGTCTTCGGACAGCGCTGGCTCTTCGGCTTTGAAACGGAGATGAGCACCGCCCCCTAGAGTCTGGAATGACTATGTACGAAGGGAACCTTTACCATTATATTTTCCTTTGAAAAAGAATTATGGCATTTACCCACAGACTCTAGAATTTGAGGGGTCTTGGATGCTCTCTGAGCTTGGTTGTTTTCTTGCAGATGTTATTCATTACCCAAATTTGGTAACACCAGTCAACTAAAACTGATGATGTTACCTAGTTGGGTCATAAAACACCTGCAAGAAAAGCACCAAGCTCAGAGAGCACCAAAGACCCCCTCATTTCAACCCTCAGCTACAAATATTCTGCTTTATCAGTCTAGAATTTCTTATGTTTATCATCTTAATAGTTTTACTCTTAATTAGTCTTAATCTAAACTGGGTTAATTACTTCAAGATGCTTCTTTGCACACTCAGCTTTGAACCCAAATAACATAAATGTGAACAATTAGCAAGGTCAGGGAACAATTAGTCAGGGAAACCTTTAGCAGAGGAGGTGGTAGAATCATCTAGTGAGTTTGTGCATTCTCAGTGACCTGTTGGCTTCTAGGATTTTCTTTTAGAGGACAACATGGTCCACTGAGAAGAGGCAGAACTTGATGGCTAAATGGCAGTTCAATGGCCAACTCATTGATTCCATCATGACCTATGGCAAGTTCATGCTTGTATGTCTGCTGGAAGAAACGTTGGAAAAAAGAATGCTAGACCCTGTTTCCCTGAAAATAAGACCCAACTGGAAAATAAGCCATAGCATGATTTTTCAGGATGTTTGTAATATAAGCCCTACCCCCAAAATAAGCCCCAGTTAAGATCGTCAGCAGACGGAGGTGTTTAGTACTGAATTTCCCCCAAAATAAGACCTAACCAGAAAATAAGTCATCATGCATCTTTTGGAGCAAAAATTAATATAAGACCCGGTCTTATTTTAGGGGAAACACGGTAGTATACTTCAGGTTATTAGGAAAAAATTAGAAGTATTTAGTTGAGTAGTAGGCGGCCCTCTTGAAAGGAGACTCAAAGGAGAAAGTTTGCAAGAAACAGCACGAACCCAAAAAGAAGGGAGGCTGTAAGCAGTGATGGAACTCAGAGGACATTATGAATGTGGGAATAGTGCAGATCATGTCAAGTAAGATGGACTTGACTTCATTTAAAACAAAGGTCCGCAACCCCAGGCCATGGCCCATTACCGGGTTGTGGTCTATTTGTAACCGGGCCCCGTGAGTGGTGGGCAGCTCAATTTGCATGGGTGACGGACTGGCGCACATGCACACATGCACGCAGCTCAACCTGCAGAAGCTGCGCCCACATGCATGTGCGTGCCGGCCCACTGCTTGCACAACTTGAACTTTGTGTGCACCGGCCCACCACTTACACGGTCTGATTTCCCCTCTCCCCCCCCCCACACACTGGGCCGCTAAGCCGCCAAGCTTGGGGACTGCTGATTTAAAGCATTAAGACCAGGGGTGAAATGCTCCCGGTTCGGACCGGATCATCCGATCCGGTAGTGAGGGCGGTGGGTGGTTCGGAGAACCGGTAGCAAAAATCCCTGTCCCCTCCCCAATGCCCAGCTGAGCCACGCGATCATCAGAGGCTTTTTTAAAATTATTATTTTTAAAAGCATTTTTTCTACAAACTCTTCAGCCAAAAAAAAATGCTTTTAAAAGTAAAAAAAAAGCCTCCGATGATCGCACTGCTCAGCTGGGATTGTCAGAGGCTTTTAAAAGAAAAAAAAGCCTCTGATGTTCACGCGGCTCAGCTGGGATCGTCAAAGGCTTTTAAAAGCATTTTTTTTACAACCTCTTCTGCCGAAGAGGTTGTAGAAAAAATGCTTTTAAAAGAAAGAAAAAAAAAGTTGGCCACACCCACTCAGCCACATTACCCCCCCACCACAAGCCACGCCCACAGAACCGGTAGTAGCAAATTTTACATTTCACCACTGACTAAGACCAGTATTGGGTAGATGACAGCAGGATTTATGGGTCATGTTGCTTTCTGTAACATACCTTCCACCTATGTTGGGACTATGATTTCCAGAGTTCCCCCCGCCCCCCCCAGCAGGGGGATTATGGAAATGATAGTCCTGAGATATCTGAAAGGCAACCAGTTTAGAAGGCTTCCTGGAGGCAGAGTTTGCTGTCGCAGATTTAACAGCAAGAAGCGGGATGAGTTGTTAGATGATCTCCCAAATTGCTTTCCTCCCCGTGATTTGCAGAAATAAAACTAATGTGATTGGATCCGTGTTCAACTTGTACAGTAGTAGCCAAGATTGTGGAAACCTTTTGGGAAAAGTGTATTTTCTAAAACTAGCTAATAACACCACTTTTTTTTTTGGAGTTGTACCCTCCAAAAAGTAGTAGTATTGGGGTTTTAAATTTGTTCAGCCAAATTATTTATTCTATTTTAAATTTTGTATTTATATTGTTTTATTCTATGGCTGTTCACTGCCCTGAGTCCTTCGGGAGTAGGGCGGCATACAAATTCAATAAAACTAAACTAAACTAAACTACCCTAAAATTATATATCAATGGAAAGATAATTGAATCAAGAATGTAATGCAATAACTTTTATGAAGGATTTGCTATTAGAATAGCAGTTACAGTATAAAGAAGAAAAGTGAAACACAGAAAAAACGAGATATACAAAAATGATCCCCATGTCAGTTAATACTTAGTTGGGTAACCTTTAGCCTGGATTACGGCCTTACAATGTCTTCTCATGGAGTGAACCAAATCTTTGAGTTCTGCAGCTGTTATCATGTGAAACCAAGATTGAAGGATTGCTTCTATTAATTGGGTTTTATTGCTGGGCCGCTTTTGACTAACAAGTTTTTTTAGTCGGCTCCATAGATTTTCAATTGGGTTAAGGTCTGGGCTATTCCCAGGCCATTCCAACAGTGGAATAGGATTATCTTGAAACTCAAAAAAAAAAAAAGGGGGGGGTGTTATTAGCCATCAAACCTCAAAAATACACTTTTCCCAAAAGGTTTCCACAATTTTGGCCACTACTGTATGTTGAGGAATTGCATCTGCACTAAACACATGTTTTAACACCTCGAAGCGATCTCAACTTAATTACCGAATGCCTAGCTCTTTCTGTGGCGGATGAAACAAATACAAATGCCTAATTCTGCCCATCTCTTTCCAGCCCTATTAAAGACATTCACGACATTCTGGAAGTCATGGTGTTTGATGAAGATGGAGATAAGCCGCCTGACTTTCTTGGAAAAGTTGCCATCCCTTTGCTGTCTGTAAGTTATTTTTCTCTCTGCTTTGGCTCCATACTTCATCTCAGCCTTAATGGCCTCCATGGGACGGGGCTGCCTTCTTATCCTCCTGCAACGATGTGTGCAGAAAGACAAATAGCCCTGTCTTGATGTTGGCATTGCGATCATCTTTTACCTTGTAGGTATGATTCTCTTTCAATCATGTTCTCTGCGTGTACAAGGAAGACGGGAATCCTGGTGCAGCTTTGATTCATCTACTAAGCATTTCCTTGAGAACATATTTCTGTACCGTGTTTGTTTACTCTCTTGCATACTTCACTGTTGGGTGTGTGCAGGGGTATGCAAAGATGCACAGTCTCTTTCTCCAGGGTACTTTGAGTAAGCCTTAATTAGTAGAGCTTATTTTCTAGGTGCTTTCACTATTTGTTCAGATTCAAAGCAGGTGTAGCGTTTGGAGGGAACCAAGGGCAGTTCAGATGCATTGTATTCTGTGAGTCAAATCTGGATCAGTTGTGCTGCTTGATTAGGTTTTGAATGGGCTTTGCTTTCTGTGATTGCAACTTAAGCTTAATTTCATATGGGAACCCCATTGTCCTTCTCGTGGTTGCATAGTTGAATACAGCTGCAAAGCTGTTCCGGAGTATTTTCCCTGTGAAGAACACAGAATACAGAATAACAAACTCCCTGTTCAAGCAGAAGACATGTGGTCATCCAGTCTTTTCTTTAAAATCCAGTGATGGAGCACCCACAACTTCTAAAGGCAAGCTGTTCCACTGGTTAACTGTTTTCACTGTTAGGAAATTTCTCCTTAGTTCTAGATGACCTCCAAGGTCCCTTCCATTCTCTGTTATTCTATATTCTAAGAAGCTAAGAATTTCTCCTTAGTTCTAGAATAGATGATCTTCAAGGATCCTTCCATACTCTGTTATTCTATATTCTACAAGTGTTCTAAGAAGCTAAGAATTTCTCCTTAGTTCTAGAATAGATGATCTTCAAGGACCCTTCCATACTCTGTTATTCTATATTCTATACATGTTCTAAGAAGCTAATAATTTCTCCATAGTTCTAGAATAGATGACCTTCAAGGACCCTTCCATACTCTGTTATTATATATTCTATACGTGTTCTAAGAAGCTAAGAATTTCTCCTTAGTTCTAGATGACCTCCAAGGCCCCTTCCATACTCTGTTATTCTATATTCTGTGTTCTGTGTTCTAAGAAGCTACTTGGATAAGCAGCAAAACATTTCAAACCAACCAAAAATAATAAGCCCAGTTGCCCCGACTCAATTTCCAGACTGAGGAAAACCAAAGAACCTGTCTGGAAGACTCACTGAGAAAACAGGTTTAGCATTTCTTCTTCCGTTTTCTAATTAAGGCTACTTCTGATTCCCCCCCCTTTTTTTTAAGCAAGGAAAAACGCTTGTAGCATCTTTTGCCAGAGAGCTTTATTAAGTCCTCCTCTTTAATTAAACCGTATCAGCAGCTGCCCAAGGTGGCCTGAAGAAAAGCTACAGTTTCTTTTCTCGACTTTCATAGCTTTTAGCGTAGCTCTAAAACTTTCTACCTTTTAATTGCAAGAGAGTTTGCTTTCAAAGGAATCTGAAAATGTGCAACTTCACGGCAGTGCTCCCTTTTGACCTTTGAGCCACTTCAAACTTATTACTCTTCTTCGCACATCTGTATTTTCAGCTGCCTGTTTCCCCGGTTCCATTTCTTTTCCTTTTTGACTGTCCTTTGAAACTGTTTTTTAAGGCAGGCGGGGCTAATTTCTTTTGAAGAGCAACTCATACTTTTAAAATTAGGAGATATCCCACAATAACATTTGGGAGACTAGTAGGTAGATGTTGTTCAAATCTCACTATTGTCAGAAACAGCTGCCTCTGAAGATACATTTATATGTGCTTTATACGTCTGAAATTTGCTGAGGTAATTTTTTCCCCCTCAGCCATGAATACAGGATGCTTCAGATTCTGTTCTTCAAGGCTGGCCAATCCTTTCCCAAAATATCTTGGTTTAATCTCTTCTTCTTCTTCTTCTTTTTTTTTTTTTAAAAAAAGCATATATAGATATAATTCTCTTTTTGATCCTATTCTTTCGTATCTCAAGCTTTCCAATGTTTGCTTGGCTCTTTTTTTTTTTTTGGAACGGTTATCAAAGCTTGCGCCGTGCGCCGAACCGTTTGATGTTTACAGGGAAGGAACAACTCCTTAACATCTTTTATTCAATTTTTGATGACTCTGTTAATTTCTCCCCAAATCCTCATATCCCTGATGCTGCTGGACGGGAACAGCATGAGCAGCTGGTCTCCTGGAGAGCTAGTGTTTGCCAAATGGCTTGTGTGAGAGGCAGCCGGCTGTGTGAGTTTGACAGGGGTATGTTAGATCTCAATTTCCTCCCCTTTTCCTCTTGATTTTATAGACGTTTGTCAAGAGCCCCTCACAATTTCCCCGAACGGGGCTGTGAGAGGGAGGGAGACGTCCATGTGGCTGGATACGGAAAAAGTGAAGGAGAATGTTAATTCTCTCTCTCTCTCTCTTGCATAGCTGATGTGTTAAGAACAAATAATAGAATAGAATAGAATAGAATTCTTTATTGGCCAAGTGTGATTGGACACACAAGGAATTTGTCTTTGTGCATACGCTCTCAATGTACATAAAAGATGTCAAGAATCATAAGGTACAACACTTAATGATAGTCATAGGGTACAAATAAGCAATCAAACCATATTAGGAAACAGTCAATATAAATCTTAAGGATACCAGCAACAAGGTTACAGTCATACAGTCATAAGTGGGAGGAGATGGGTGATAGGAACGATAAGAAGATTAATAGTAATGCAGATTTAGTAACTAGTTTGACAGTGTTGAGGGAATTATTTGTTTAGCAGAGGGATGGCGTTTGGGGAAAAACTGTTCTTGTGTCTAGTTGTTCTTTTGTTCTATTGCCGTGTATTTCTGGCTCCATTGAAAAACTTGGTTTAACACAACAAGAGAATAACAGAGTTGGAAGGAACCTCGGAGGTCTTTTAGTCTAATGCCCTGCTTAAGCAGGAAACCATATATATCGTTCCTGTCCAGTCTCTCCTTAAAAGTGATGGCGCACCCAAAACTTTTGAAAGCAAGCCGTTCTACTGGTTAATTGTTCTCCCTGTTAAGGAAGCAGATTTACCCCCATGAGGAGAGCTGGAGCATCTTCCTCTCTGCAGTCACATGATTCACTCTCTCAAACAGACACTCTCCTTCCCCCTAAAACAAGCAGATTTACCCATGAGGAGAGCTGGAGTACCTTCCTCCCTGCAGTCAGGAAGTTTCTCATTAATTCTAGCTTGCTTCTCTCCTTGATTAGTTTCCACCCATGGCTTCTCATCTTGCCTTCTGATGCTTTGGAAAATAGGTTGACCCCTTCTTCTTTGTGGCAATCCCTCAAATATTGAAACGCTGCTATCATGTCACCCCTAGTCCTTCTTTTCACCAGACTAGACAAAACCAATTCCTGCAAAACCGTTCTTATGTTTTAGCCTCCAGCCCCTTAATCATCTTTGATTATACATGGCAAGTTTTGATAATGTTGTCTGCAAGCACAGACTCTGGCCAAAGGTTTTATTGTCTCACTTTTCACAGCTCACTTAATGCAGAAGCAGATGAGGCAGGTCCAGTCTTAGAATAACAGAGTTGGAAGGGATCTTATAGGTCATCTAGTCCACCCCCCCACCAGGAGACCCTACACCATTTCTGACAAATGGCAGTCCAATCTCTTCTTCAAATCTTCCAATGATGAAACTCCCACAACCTCTGAAGGCAAGTGGTTCCATTGATTGATGGTTCTCACTGTCAGAAAATTTCTCCTTGTTTCTAGGTTGAATCTCTTCTTGATCAGTTTCCATCCATTATTGCTTGTCTGGCCTTCAGGTGCTATGGAGAATAGGTTGACTCCCTCTTTTCTGTAACAGCCCCTCAACTATTGGAAGACTGCTACCCTGTTTTCCCCAAAATAAGACATCCCCTGATAATAAGCCCAATTGGGCTTTTGAGCGCATGGCAATAAGGCCAAGCGCTTATTTCAGGATTCAAAAAAATATAAGACAGTCTTATTTTTGGGGAAACACGGCATATGTCTCCTTTTCTTCACTAGGCTAGCCATGCCCAGTTCCAGCGACTGTTCTTCATGTTTTAGTCTCCAGCCCCTTAATCATCTTTGTTGCTCTTCTCTGCACTCTTTCCAGAGTCTCAACATCTTTTTTATAATATGGTGACCGAAACTAGATGCAGTATTCTAAGTGTGGTCTTACTAAGGCTTTATAAAATGGTACTAATAATTCAAGTGATCTTGATTCTCTCCTTCTGCTAAAAGCCTGAAAGAGCCTGAGGCTAGATTATTCTCAAGGAATACCTTCTGCCTGATGAACCACTCCAGGGAACTTAGAGCTGTCTAGAGAAGTAGGGCCTGAATCAGGGGTAAAATCCAGCAGGTTCTGACAGGTTCTGGAGAACCAGTAGCGGAAATTTTGAGTAGTTCGGAGAACTGGCAAATACCACCTCTGGCTGGCCCCAGAGTGTGGTGGGAATGGAGATTTTGCAATATCCTTCCCCCAGGAGTGGAGAGGGAATGGGGATTTTGCAGTATCCTTCCCCTGCCACGCCCACCAAGCCACACCACACCCACCAAGCCACGCCAACAGAACCAGTAGTAAAAAAAATTGGATTTCACCACTGGCCTGAATGCTTAATTCTGGATGGCATTTATTTAATTACAGGCAGTCCTTACATCTTACGACCATTCATTTTGCAATTGTTCAAAGTTAGGATGGGACTGAAAAAAGTGACACACAACCTGTCTTCACACTTGCAACCGTTGTAGTATCTCTTCCCCCCCCAGTCATGTGATCAAAATTTGGTCGCTTGGCAATTGGCAAGATGGATTTTCTTCGTGATTGTGTGATTTGCTGAATGACTGCCCCCCCAAAAAAGTTTGCAAAATTGGTGCGTTGTTGTTGTTGCTGTTGTTGTTGTTTGTTGTTGTTGTT